GAGACTGGTGGATTTTTTATTGTTAAAATAGAAAAAAAAAATGTATGAATATTCTATACATTGTGTAAGGGGTATGACATATGAATAACTTGAAAAAGAACATATTGTTCATTAGATAAGTAGATGACTTCATGTTAAGATCTATACATTAAATGTGGAATCTTAAAAGACAGTTGAAAGAAATTAAGACTAGAGACAAATCTTACCAGGGGCTGAGGAGGCTCCCCTCACCCCAACTTTTTTTTTTCAGTGTATAAAAATTAATGAATTATTTGATTTTTTTTTAAATTAATATACTTTATATATTTAGCTTCCCAAAATTTTTATATAGGTTTTGGCATCTGCAAAATATTTTTTGAAGATCTACCACTTATCGTGACATATTTGTATGTGCTTTTAGAGATATGTTGTCATAAACAAATGTATCGATTGCAACAATAAATCAAGAAGAAGGGTTGATGATATTATATCACAACATTGGTTGTATGCCAAAGTGAATTCTATAAATTCTTGCAAAAGGTAATCTCTTATCAAGGTTCATATAAGTTGTTTTATCTTTTTACGAGCACTATATTATAAGCATTTAACAAAGATTGTAGTTTGCTAGAATGATTACTAAAAACAAACATACATTCAACTTCATTCTTTTTTATGTGTGAAAATTATCAATATTATCCTTTAACAGAGCAAAATATTTTGTCACCAAATTCGTATGGCAAAACAAATAAACACTCTCTTTTGGATAGAACAAAAGGTATACTCAGGATAATAAAAATGACTAATCAAGCAAGTTTTCTTATACACATTATTAGACCACTAAAAGGGGACATAGTTAAAAAAAATTACAAAACAAAACATTCAATTAATATTACTAATTGAAACAAATGGATAAATTAGATTATTAGCTGAACTTGGATGATTTTTTTTTAAGAAAATTCGTACTTAATTTCTATCATGTTATAATATTTCTCCTAGAAAAAATATCCCATTTTTTCCTTAAAATATAAACACATCGATTGATAAGTGTACTATACGGTGTAGAAGACCGACCGGAAGTGGTCAGCACGCTCAATAGGAAGGAACCCATCGGCAGACATTCACTGTCATTAATGGGTAACAAAGGTGAGTAATTATTACATCACGCGTATTGCATTTGTGGCTAATTAGCAAGTGATATTAGGCAGATTATGCTGGATATAAGGAAATTAGCAAATGATGAGACACAAAATATATTGCATTAAATGACATTCAAAGACAGTCAATATTTACTGGACAATTACAAAGCTTATAAATACAGAACTAATGATCAGGTAAAGTCTGATTTTCTGAGATAGATAAAAAAACCTTGGAGGACACTCACTGACTTGAGCGTTGGAGTGTTATCTTGCAGGTCACCTTGTTGAGCTGATCGGAGAAGGAGAATTGAGTCATTCGTTGCGCACTTTGGTAGAAAGGAAGCGCGTGGAGCGGAGACCTTGGACCCCATTTCAACATAAACAATAAGTTTTAGAATAATTTTATCATGTAAATGACTAATTGAAATACTTTTAATCATTCATTTTTAATAAATTCTTAACAAAATTTTATACTATATAAGTATCATGGTAGAGAACATTTTCACTCCTATGTGACTTTTGTCTGTAAGACACAGTAGAATGACACTTATTTCTTGTTCACTTGAATGGATTTGGGGGAGAGTAATTGAGAGGATTTGAGAGAATTTGAAGATAAATTTTTTTGTTGTTTATTTGAGTGAATTTGGAGGTAAACGAGAGTGAATTTGGAAGTAAATTTTTTTAATCTATGACGTCAATCAAATATTACACTAATTCTTACAAACTTTACTTCTAAATTCAATCTCACTTACCTCCAAATTCACTCAAATAAACAACAACAAAAATTATCTTCAAATCCTCTCAAATCTCCTCAATTACTCTCTCCCAAATCCCTTCAAGTGAACAAGACCTTAAATATATGAAAAAGAGTCATTGAATAGTTCATCATTATGCATCAAAGTCTCTAGTGCACAAAAAATATAAATCTTCCATGTTAATAATCACAATAAAACAACAATAAAAAGTCCATAAAACCTAAATTAATCACAAAAAATAAGTCCAATTCATATAAATCTTCCTTGTTAGAAGAAATAGACATAGTGGATAAACCAACAATACCCACAAAAATAAAAGCTAAAACCATAAATTTTACTTTATCAACGTATGTAGCAATGATCTCATATCCAAGCAAGACTCCACACCCGAAAACACAAACACAAAACCACCACCATTGCTTTTCCTCCACCTCTACTATCAAACAGAAACTAAACTAAACTTTGACTCTCAAATCTCCACATTAAACCTTAAAAAAGCATAGAAAAATAGAAAATCAAAAGAATCAAAATATTCTCTCTATTTTAATTTTTTTTTTCTTTAAAATGAAAACTTTTTTTTAAGAAGTGTATTTTCTGAGCCTCATGCTCTCAAATTTAATAACACTAGCAGAAAGAAAAAGGAAAAGTGATTAAGACTTTAAGTTTACAAGAGTAGTTTGTTAGTAAAATTATTAGCATAAGTTTGCATTGGTTGTTAAACCATGGTGATTAGTGTCTCACTCATATTGACCCCAATGTTTATGAAACACACTAATGTTTAAATGGAATAAGGAAACTAAATGTTACTTTATTAAAATATAAGACAAATATATGTCATTTAATAAAGAAACATAAGGAAAGAAATGTTTTTCATTTAAAATATAAGATAAGTGAATGTTTATTTTAATATGAGAGGGGTGTATGTAAAGCTAAGTATACAAACAGGTCATCCCCGTTTAAATTTACACTCGCATAACTTAATACTACGAAAAATAAATTTGTCTGTTTAACTTGCATTTTAAATGAATTTTAATGTTTGCAAATTTCACCCATCCTGCCAAAAAAGCTATGTATTTAGTCCATTGTAAATTTCACCATGCGAGTTCTTTTCATGCATGTTATTGTTAGGTTTTCAAAATTTTCAATTTTACTGCTCTGATCTTTGCACATTTCTAACATTATATTTTATAAAAAAACACATGTGATAGAATGGTATGTGTACTATACCTGGCAACTGACCAGCTGTCAGACAAACTAATCAGAAAAGGTAAATATCATTAATGGCCAATTAATACGTTTAATGGTCATATTAAATGCGAATATACGCTATTTATGAGTGATTGACATGTCATATTGCACAAGAATATGGTATTAATGGACAATTAGTAGGTATATTAGCAAGTATTATTGGATTTATTGCCATATCAAATATGAATTAATGAGCTTGATTGTCATAAGTCTTATAAATATAGGGTTAAGGCCATGGTAAAGACATCATTTTCTATCCTAATAAAATATAGACATCTTTATGAAACATTTCTGACTTGATCGTCGAGTGTCTTATGCAAGTCAACAACTCATCAAAGTGGATTGCATTCTCAGAGAGGATTGAAGATAAAAAGAGAGCAGAACAAGGAAGAACTACCGACCCTCGGACCAATTCAACCGAAACAGTATGGTTTTTGAAAAAAGGGTTAACCCTATTACATATTTAAGAAATTGACAAAATGTGTAAAAATTGAAAATGTGAATAAAAATTGAATGGTGAAATTTATTAAACAATGATAAATGGGTACTTAAATTATTTATAAAAAGTGGTAATAATGTTCTGGTTAGTTTAGGCTGGTTGATATATATTCTATTCTTTTTCTATCAGGATTTATCCTGGAAGCATTTTGCTAAATTTTAACCTTGAATTCCACCTTAGTAAACATATTTTATGACACTTATACATAATATTTATAAAAAAGTAAAAAAATAGAAGCTCACATTTATATAAATGATTCTCGAGAAGAAGTCGGCCACTCGCAGGCCTTCTTTAGTCGGGAGGACATTTAAATTCTTTTAAGTAAATGACAGAGTATTACTTTGCAGAGGATGCACGTTATTGATGTAAGGTTTATGTTGGGAGATTCAGAATTCTCTATAAAAATCAGGACATTAATTTATGAGTTTTTCTTCTTTATATTTTATTTTTTTATTTAGTATTAGATTTTTAATTTATCTTGAATTATTAATAATCTTTTATTCGAGTATGAGTTTCTTTACTCATTCATTGTATCGTCATTTTCTTGAAATGAAATTCTGGTACCAGTGTGAAGTCTTTACAAGAAGAGAGACACAAGAGATTTTACACTTCAGACAAAACTTTAAAACAGTGCATTTATGATTCTTCCACTTACATTTTACATAAAACTTTCAGCTTACTTTAAATTCCTAAATTATAAAACAAAAACAATTACCTTTCACATAAAAAAGAGAGAGAGAAAAAAAACTAATGTAGTATTTTTATATGGGAAAAAAATAAGGTTTAAACAATATAAAGACAAAAAAAGAGATAAAAAAAACTAATGTAATATAAACACAAGATTTTGTTATGCAAAAGGTGCAAAAATCGCTTAATGCTGTGTTATTAGGATAATCCAAATTCAACAATTATATGAATTATAAGATATACCATTGGTATGAAATATTACATTATTAATTACTTATTATTTCTCTTAAAGATCTTAAAAATAAAGACTAGAAATATAAATAAAAAAACCACAAAATGAAACCTCGTACCTTCATTACGTTTATAAAGTAACTGACATTCTTGTGTAAGTTAAAATTCCAAAATGGTGGTCATAAAAACTGATTCAATTAGAATTAATTTCCACAGACGTCCTTTTTAGCAAACATTTGCACTAGAAAACGTACATTTTGGGAACAAGTTACGAAAAACAAATTTTAACGCAAAGACAAAAGGCTTGCTTTGGTAGCACCTGGGTGTAGAGCAACAACTACTCAATGGGATTTGCAAATCGCGTTTATTTATTATGTATATCAATTGGATTTCGATTAAGAAAATTAAACCGAATTGAAAATCTTATATAAATTATAGTCCAAAGAAGACTAAGAACCGGAAATCTTGTTCTAAAAGCATGACTAAATTAATTCAAATTCGAGCTACAACTTTTCCAAAACTAAAACTCTACTCCGCCAAAGAAAATCCGTTTTATTTCTCGTAACATACAAAAGAGAAGGAAAACCGAAGGAGAAAGATAGTCTGCACCTAAAATTCACTAAACTGTGATAAAGAGATACAACGGGGTTAACACCCCACATGTAACTATGTGCCTATATCCCCAGAGAGGTGCAACTTCTTTCCTGCAAAAAAAGAGAGACTACATCAAAAAAATGCAAATCAAAGTCTGCAAGAGTTAGGCATTGCAATGAAAATGGACAGCCAATGATCAGCAAAAACTTACCTCTCAAAGCTCATCTTTTCCTGTTTCTTGCTCATCTTTTACTTGTTCAGCATGAGCAGGTTTATCTGTTCCTTGTTCTTGCTGGGCAGGTTTGTCCCGGTTCTTTTCAATGAATTCTATGATGTCTTTCTTGGTCCTGCCACCGTCGTATTGTAATAGATTTCCACTTGATGACCTGAAGTACAGGGTTGGATAACCTTGGACATCAAAGGTATCACCTGGGATATCGTTGGCAGTTGCATCCTGGAAAGTGACAAACAACATGTAGAATGTGACTGACAAAGAACGAAACGGATATACTATCATAATAATCGAAGCTGAAAACTGAATACAATTCTTACCAGTTTAGCAATGATAACATTAGCATCATTTTGATATGAGATAGCAACTTCGTCCAATATAGGAGCCAACTGTTTGCAATGACCACACCAGGGAGCGTAAAACTCCAGTAGAACTGCAAGGTGTTTGTTTTAGCAGTTATGATGGACTGATAAAGGTTTACCACTAACAAAAATGATGTAGATGCATGAAAGATTCTACTATGGGCATAATTACTACCATATATAATCATGGGCATAATTACTACTATATATAATCAAAGATAAATAGTTGTCTGAAGAAGATGGAAACTGCATTTAGATTATAAATAAAAATTCAAATCAATTTTGTTATTCTATAATTTCATATATGAAGAGAAATTCGTCTAATGTTTAACACAATTTCCGATTAAAAAAAATCCAAAGTTCTATCCTTCATAGTTTGCAATGATTATACGAACAGATCCACCAAATTAAATGTGGTAAAAATATAAAATCATATATATCAGCTTTTCGTAAAGGTTGATGATATTATACAAACTAAAGATGTATTCATTATCTAAATTGGACCGTAATGATCCATCAAAAACAAGGAACATTATAAACGTGATATTTTTTAAGATTACAGTGTGTGCCAAAATCTGATAATCCATTGAATAGAACCAAAATAGAAAAAAGGAACAAGTATATACCGTTCTTCCCAGACTTGAAAACGATGTCCTGGAGACTTTCCCCAACTACCACTTTAACTGGTTCATTGTTAGTTTCTGGAACAGGTTCAGATTTCACATATGGTGCAATGTTACCCTCCTGAAATATTCAGAAAGACAGTGTCAAGATTTATATCTTTCCAAGACAAATAGCAGTCACAATTAAATAATTTAAAATTAAAGAGTACCGCAAACATATAATACTAAAAGTAATAAACCAGATTAAATTATGCCTACGTTACAAGCCACTAAGAGAAATAAGAATAACCTTGTATGCCTTCAACCAAGTTGGAATGTGTTCGGCTTCCAAATTGGGCTTAAAATATTTCTTCCCGTCATTATGTTGAATGATAATTAAAGGTACTTGTTCTTCCTTCAGTCCAAAGTACTGTCAAGACAAGCCATACTAAATGTCAAATATCGATATTGAATGCTACATATTTTGAATGTTACATATTTTGATACAAACCTGGAAAGCTCCTTGACTAGACTCTACATCTCCAACCAGAAAGCTTACACCCTGTTGTTTAAATTGCTCAGCAGCTTCACGGTATTTTGATTTGAAAGATTCAGCACTTTCAGCAGTGAAGTTGATGAACAACATTGCCTGCCAATATCAACAATTTAAGTTTCTTTAACACGAGATAAAATGGGCATACAACCAAAACAAAGAAAATAATAGATATTATGGAACAGGAAGGGTAGGGGAAAGAAAAGTAGTTTAGGAAAATGCTATTTTGTTCAGATTACAGAAGGCAAAAAGCTGCTAGTAGCTCAATGGCCGCAACTGAAAACCTCAATTTAAATCCATGCTCTGCTACCCAGCTATAGCAATTAATGAAACATGGAGGTATTTAACAAATAAAAATTCAGCTGCAATATCGTTAATAATACGGAAATCTCAAGTTCAATATTGAAAGAACAAAATTGACTTAAACAGCAAATTTACCTTTGCATTGGGGCTGTTGAAGAACTTGACAACGAAAGGATGATTGTTAGGATCATTGTTAAAGATAGTAACGACAGGGATACTGGACTCCTCAACAAATTTCTCTAGAGTATCCACTTGGAAATCCTGCAAACACTAGTTAATTTTGACAGCCAGTATTAGATTAAACATCAAATAAAATTGCAAAATTAATCCACATAAATCAGCACTACCTTGGAGTCAACAAAAAGTTCATCGAACGGCTTGAATAACCTAATTACAGGGCCAGCGACTTATGATTCACCTCTTGGAAGGTGTTTAGCATTCAGGGTGTGACCAAAGTCATAATCAGCATGCAACTTCTCTGCTAAGGCAGTAAAGTTATCAAACTCCTCGCCAGAAAATTTCGGGAAAACTCCAACCTGAAATCATATCAATATATCATTATTACAGGCCAATGAGTTAAAATAAAGAAAAATTAAACAATCGATCACTTACAATAACAACTTTATTTTCACCAATAAAAGCTGTAGCATCATCGGCAGATTTAATTTCAGTTGAAGCAGGACCACTCTGTCTCTTCAAATAATCAACGATGCCATCGGCTTCACGGGGACCTTTGTACTCCTGAACATTCTTTCCCCCATTCCTCACAATCTTAAGTGTGGGGTATCCCTTAACATCATATTCCGATGCAAGAGCTTTGTTCTTCTCTTCATTGGCGTCAACTTTAGCCAAAACAATCGGAGGATCATGACTGCTCAAGATAGACGCAGCTTTCTCATACTGCAGAAACAAAAATGCCAAAAATCATCAACCGCATAATCCTACAACAACAAATCAAAGTAAACCCCAAAATTAAAGGCGACCAAAATTACCTCAGGAGCAAGCTTCTTGCAGTGGCCACACCTAAGAAGAAAAATAAAAACAAATTTCACGTGAAAACCACAATGCACTAATATCAACAACAATAGATCTCAGTGAAGCCGATTCAGAACAACAGATTCAAAAATCAAATCAAACACAGTCAATTCAAACGAAACCACAGAATTAAATCCAAAACACAAAAATTAAATCAGATTAAAACGAGGGCATCAGTATAGACACAAAATCACAACAGGAAATTAACAAAAGCGAGATGTAGACAAAGTCAAAGCAAATGTCTCAGATCAGAAGGAGTAAAGATGAAGCATAAAATAAAAACAAGTAAAAATGCAACAGAATCGAAACATACCATGGAGCGTTGAACTCGACAACGATGAAATCGTGCTTGCTGATAGTGTCGTGAAAGTTGGATTTATCCAGTGTGAGTACGAATTCCTTAGTCTCAGAGGACTCCTCCGCAGAGATCTGAGAGGCGATAAGAGAAAGTGCAAAGACGAAGAAGAAGAAGCAAATGGAAACCCTACGCGCCATTGTTCCTTTGAAGGGAAGCTGTGAAAGCAATTGAGGTTAAGAGAAGGTCACGAGAGGGGTTTTTGTAGGAGTTAGAAACCCGGTAAGAACACCGCATGACACGTGCGCTATGTTTCTCAGATATTTTGGACATTGGCCACTGCTAACGAATCTCCTGTCCCCACGTTGGCACTCTGGATGACGTGGCGAAATCTTATTCGACCATTCTTGTCACTCAACATTTCTTTTCTTTTCTTCAGCATCCCAGTGAAACCGGTGGCTCTGATATTGAATAATAGGGCTTTAATTAACGGATAAATGCTTCTGAGGGTGCTCATAATCCCGTGTAGGTCAGGTGTATGTTAAATATTTGTGGCTGAACAAATCTGATGGATTTGAATAATTGCGTGCCCAGTTTGCTGTTAGATTGATTAAGGAAATAAATTTATTCTTGATAACATCTTTTGACTCTTCCGGATTATTTTTTTAATTATTACAACCAGTCAAAACCATTCTATAATTACATGGATATAAACTATAGAATAACCAAACTCTATAAATATATTCTAAATGGAACTAAAAAGTCAATAGCGATCAAAAAAAAAACTTTGATCCATCGTATCGTATGGTTATGAGTAGAAAAGCCTACTTATATATATATAATACGGAATTCACGTTTAGTTACATATTATATTACAATTAAATATAAGATGTTTCTCTACAATTATGATAAAGTTAAATTAGTTGCTAGTCCTAATATTATTTGAAATAATTTGTTGTTTTATCTTTTTGTCTTGATTAAGTTTTTTCTAAAAAGGAAATAAGTGCAATTAGGTTATCTTTATTAATATTCTCTTAATAACGTTAATAATATGTGACGTGCTTTTTTATATTTTAAAAAGGAAAATATGAAAAAAAAAACTATGAAATAGTATGTTTTTAATACCATTCGTACAAGTATAACGGAAACTATTTAATTAAATCAATTTTTTAAAAAATAAGATTCAATTGAGAAAAAGAAATTAGTGATCTATTTCAATTATTTCAATTAAAATTAAAATCAAACTACTAATTTAACCTAATCATAATAAATAAGATTTATTACATGTTAACATTTGATATATCTTAAAATAAGTGGACCTTAATTGACTTATATTCCTCGTGTAGGTGGCACAAAACAGATACTATATTTTTAAAATCACAAAACCTTAATTAATATAGGATATTAGAGCCTAATAATTTAAGTCTTATTCCTTATACATTATTCTTTTATATTAAATGTAATACTTAAACTCATTTAAATTTTTTACATTTTTTTCCTAAATGAATCCTTTCAATATCGGTATATTCTTCGTTGAGCAAACAAGTTTTTTCTAAAATGAACCTTTTTTTTTTATCTTTGTTTATTGTGACATCTCTTTCAAATACAATATAGTCTAATTTTTAATTTAATTATGATTTGAGGAAAAATTAATTTCTTTCCCTTACATCTAAATCTTCTTATTCCTTAAAAGATATAGAAGAATTCTATGTACATAGACTTTGTACTTCTCTCCATCCTAAAGAATAATATTAAATAAATATAAATATTTTCATTATATCATGCAATATATATACATATTAATTTAGTAATAAATATCAAAGCATAATAATGTCACAAATTTCATTAAATTTAATAAATGAAGCAAATTGTAATTAATTTCATTTGACAATCAATTGTCATCTTTACAATTTTGTATGCACATCAGTTTATAAGTACAATGCATTTTCTGTTAGAGTACTTACTTAATTTTTCTTGTACATCCTTATTTTATATACATATATATTCATATACTTGTCTGTGTGCCGAATTCTGAGTTAATTCTCTTTTACATCTCAAATGATATTTCAAGACGTTATTTGAATTGTTTACGCTATTATACACCTTTATGGTTAAATATTAGTCCATATTATCGTTTAACATGTAAAAGAATTTGAAAATTATTGGATTGAAATAACTATTTTTATTCATTTTTAAAATTTGGAGTATTAGAATTAATTAATAGATTAATTCAACTATGTGACTCGTGAAATATAACGATGATGTAATTTAATAAAATATAATATCCTATCAATTATTACAAAAAGTTAAAATAAAAATGAATCGTAGCCAACTTGGTGAATGTAGTAAATAAAATAGATTTAGGTTCTAAGATTTTCTCATTATAAACTATTAAAAAAGTGAGAGAAAAAAAGAAATGTCAAGAGATAAATTGGAAAAATAAGATTAGAGAACACATAAAAGATATTGTCAATTTGTCTCTCATGAATCAAAAGTTAATATTTTTCTCTCATGATTTATGTGAATGAATGAGAAAGATAAATTTTAAGATTTTTAATATGGTTTTCTGGAATTAAATTAGAAATGAATGAAAACTACTATAATTTATATCAAAATCAATAATATATAACAAAGTTTGTGATAAAAATTATTTTCAACCTTACAGGGATTACAGCCACATATAACATTTTTTATATTACAAAAGCATCAAATAATTTACCGTAAAACTAACACAGGAGTAAACATCGTATGAAAAAAAAAAGATTTAAAAGTTAATTAGATACAACCAATGATTTTTTTATAGCATATTTAAAAAAAAGGATGAAATATATTTGGATTTCACTAAATTTGAGTTTTAGTTTCTTTAGAAAAAGTTATTTGCTTTGAGTCTATGCAATTTTACTTTACACCGTTTTTTTGTTAGTAGTTTATATAATGAGAAAGAATAATTTAAATAACGTTCCAAAGGTAAAGAGTAGTATTTGAAAATTAAAATAATACAATAAAAATAAAAATAGATAAAAAAAATTAGAAAGGTTAAAATGAAAAACCTTAAAAAAAATTATTGGAAAAATATTTAATAAAAATAAAAATTAACAGGTAAAACTTATTCCAACACGAGTTTTCAACACGCGCAGGAGATTGGTTCACTTTTATTGTGTTAGACTTCTGAAGTTTTCTTGCATCTAATGATAGTAAGACTCTTTTTTATTTACTTTAATTGAACATTATATTACTGTCAAACTTGTATTTGTTGTATCTAAGACATCATTCCAATATGTGTCCAAACCAGATTTTTTTCATCAATAGAGTGTGATTTAAGGTTCTTCTATTTTTGGGTCCATGGGGGTCAAAATATAGAACGACTTTACATCTTTCTTTAAAATGAAATTATATTCCTATATTATAAACTAATACATATAATTTAAAGAATGGAAGTTATTTTATGCTCGTATAAAAATTAGATATTTACACACAAATAAGTTTAAGCCATTAACAAAATCAAAACTGATATTACATAAAAAAATTTATTATAATGAATATTAAAATCCGTATTAATCTCAATTGTAAATTTTATATTTTAGCCATGGAACATGCGGACGCTTAATGAATTTATCTAACCATCAAATGAGACATTTTTTAAAAGATGAAAAATGCTTTCCTTCCTGTAAAATCTTTCAAAAAAATTTGTCTCGCTTCAATCTCTCTGATTTTAAAATATTTAGTTTTTTTTTATTAAGTTAGTTATGAGTTAAAATTAAAATTTAACATGAATTAAAACTTGAAATATGTACTCCTAGGCATCAAATATCTCTCAGCTAATTTGAAATTTTTTTAAGAGAAAGTAACATATTTTACTCTGTATTTTAAAAAAGACGAAGGTTAAGAATGATACGATGTATGTCTAGAGACTCGAATTTATATTTGACTCTGGATTCCGACAAACAAAGGTTCCCGTTTTCTTATGTAAAACATACATACATTATACATAGGAAAACCCAAAAACATTAAAGGCGAGCAAAGGAAGATAGAGTGGCACTTGTGTGATTTTATCTACCACGATGAACAACTTCCTTCCAGCAAAGGAGAGATTAAATCAAAATATGCATAGAAAGTTTGGAAGAGTTTTTATAGCATTGCAAAGTAAATGGATAACTAATGCTCTACCTACTCTTACCTTTCAAAGCTCATCTTTTCCTTTTTCTTTGTCACCCTTTGCTTGTTCTTGATGAGCATGTTTATCCCGATTCTTTTCGATGAATTCTATGATGTCTTCCTTGGTCCTATTGCCACTGTATTTTGATATCTTTCCACTTGCTGACCTGAAGTACACTGTTGGATAACGTTTGGCTTCAAAGGAATCACTTGAGATATCGTTGGCAACTCCATCCTGGAGAATGCAAACAACATGCAGAATATAACTTAAGAAAACAGCATAAGATATTAACCTTTAATAAAAATGTGTTTCTTAAAGTCTACTAATACAACCCCCAGCTTCTGTAGCACATAGCTTTTGTTAGAGAAATGCAGAGAATGAAAACTGATAGAAGATATCAGAACAGAAAAATGAATGTGGAAATATTGAACGTGTATTATTGAACAGCAAAAGTGTAATACAGACAGTGTTTTATAGTAAACAGAATAACAGAAAAAACTGTATAACAGCTTGCATTTAAAACTCCTAACAGCTTTCAGTCAGCGGACAAAGCTAACTTCACCATAGATTGAAACAAGTATAACACCATAATGATCAAGGTACATTTCTTACCAGTTTTGCAATAATAACATCAGCATCACTTTGATATGAGACAGCAACTTCCTCCAATGTTGGAGCCAACTCTGTGCAATAAATACACCAGGGAGAATAAAACTCCAGCAGAACTGCAAGAGGTTTGTGTTAATAGATACATTATTCCAACTTGGTATGGTAAAGTCAAAGTGATTTTGTGAGAGATTCTACTTTGTGTATACTGCCATATATAATCACAAATACATAATGATATCAGAAGGACACGTTACTTTGCACGTACAATTAATGCTCTATATACGTAATCACATATACATATCAATATCAGAATGATGTGTTACCTGAAGAAAACAGGTTTAATTATATGATCATCAGCAGTCTAATCTTGTATAGGAACATCAATACACTACACAACTTTCTCAGCGATTTAACACATCAATAATATACAAAGATGTAGAGAGCCACAATATACATCACTAAGCAGTAAATGTGGCTGGCCTGGCCACAATC